GTATCTTATGGCCATACTCTTAGGATGGTGACCTTGGCTGTGTTTCAACAGCAGTAAATCACTGTATTATTTTTCCAATCCTGTTTTTATTGTAACAAAATTCACATGATAAAATTTATGATCATAACCATTTTAAGTGTGCAGTTAAGTAGTACTAAAAATAAAGTCATAGAGTTGTGCAATCACCACTGCTGCCATCTCTACAACTTTTCATCTTACAAAGCTGAAACTATGTACTCACTGAGCAGTAATTCCTCATTCCCTGCTCCTCCCATCCTCTGGAAACCACCATTCTACTTTCTGTCTCTGTGAATGTGAAAGACTTAGGTGCCTTGTAAGTGAAATCATGCAATAGTTGCCTTTCTGTGACTGGCTTATTTTACTCAGTACAATATCCTCAAGGTTCATTCATGTTGCAACAAGTCATCATGTATTTAACTCCTCTTTAGAACAAATGCCATCCCAGCTTCCTAATTCTTCACCAGTTTGTTTATGTTCTTTCTGTTCTAAGGCTTGAGGCCATTTCACTTCAGTTGATCCATTAAAACTCCTCACACTGAAAGCGTTGAATGCATTAATATGAGATATTTTAAGGGATCAAACTTTTGAAAAATAATTCTGACTTCCAAAGTGTCAAGAACAAAGAGGATAGAGGTATGGTCTGTTTCACTTCTTGCTGATTTTTTTGCACTAAGAAAAATTTCCTGACACATTTTAGAAACTCAATCATCCTATCCATTGAGTGACCAGTATAAGACAAATTTCAATTTAAGGTCAAACATATGAAAAAATAGTCAGAATCACTAGCCATCAGGGAAATGCAAATCAAAACCATGATGAAGTTTCACCTCACCCCCATTAGAATGGCTTTCATACAGAAATCAATAAACAACAAATGCTGGCAAGGATGTGAGAAAAGATATCCTAATCTATTATTGGTGAAATGTAAACTGGTACAGCCACTGTGGAATACAGTATGGAGATACCTCAGAAATATGAATATAGACCTACCATATGACCCAGCCATCCCACTCCTGGAAATTTACCCAAGGGAGATGAAATCAACATATGAAAGATTATTTGTACCCTCATATTTATTGCAGCTCTAAGACATGGAGTTAGCCCAAATGCAACTGAAGACTGGAAAGAAATTATGGGATATGTACACCATGGGGTAAAAAAAAATGAAATCCTGTCACTTGCAACAAAATGGATAAAACTGGAAGACATCATACTTAGTGAAATAAGCCAGTCCCAAAAGGAAAAATACTATATGCTTGCCTTATCTGTGATAACCAATAGAGCACCTAAAAGGTTAACCTATAGAAGTGAAATTGACACTTTGAGCACTTGTCTCAACTGTTGAGGAACAGTGTTTTTTTTTTTCATACTATTTGTTGAACTCTTTACTTAGTGTAGAATTAATCGTATGGGTATAAAGTTAATTGAAAATAGATTTTAGTAAAAAATAAGAATAGGAATAGGAAAGGTGGGAGAAGGGTGGGAGTGGGAGTGGGAGGGTGGGTACAGTGGGAAGAATCACTATGTTCCTAAAGTTATGGAATGCATAATGTTTGTATTCCTTAAATAACAGGTTTCTGGGAAAAATGTGTTATTGCCAGGGCAGGAATTTGGCCTAGTGGTTAGGATAGCATTTGGAATGCCCACATTCCATATCAGAGTACCTGATTCAAGCTTGACTCCTCCACTTACAATCCTGCTTCCTACTAATGCACACTCTTGGAAAGGAAGCATGTGATGGCTCAAATAATTGAGTCTCTGCTACCCACGTGGGAGACAAGATTGAGCTCCAGGCTCCTGGCTTTGTCCTGACCAAGCTCTGGCTGTTGTAGGCATTTGGAGTATGAACCAGAGGATGGAAGGTATCTCTCTGTCTCTCTCAAATGAAGTGAAAATAACTTAGAATTTTTTGTTCTAGTACTATTGGTTGAACTCTGTAATTAACACACAATTATTCTTAGGTGTTTAAATTTTAACTGAGAAGTGATCACTGTTAGGAATCTGGAAAACATTATGCTGAGTGAAATAACCCAGTCCCAAAGGGACAAATATCATATGTTTTCCCTGATCGGTGACAACTAACTGAGCACCAAAAAGGAAACCTGTTAAAGTGAAATGAACACTATGAGAAACAGTGACTTGAACAGCCCTTGCCCTGACTGTTGATGAACAACTTTTTTTTTTAACTTTTATTGAATGAATATAAATTTCCAAAATACAGCTTATGGATTACAATGGCTTCCACCCCCCCATAACTTCCCTCCCACCCACAACCCTCCCCTTTCCCACTCCCTCTCCCCTTCCATTCACATCAAGATTCATTTTAATTTCTCTTTATATACAGAAGATCAGTATAGCATACATTAAGTAAAGATTTCAACAGTTTGCTCCCACACAGAAACATAAAGTGAAAAATACTGTTTGAGTACTAGTTATAGCATTAAATCTCAATGTACAGCACACTAAGGACAGAGATCCTACATGAGGAGTAAGTGCACAGTGACTCCTGTTGTTGACTTAACAAATTGACACTCTTGTTTATGGCCTCAGTAATCACCCTAGGCTCTTGTCATGAGTTGCCAAGGCTATGGAAGCCCCCTGAGTTCACTGACTCTGATCATATTTAGACAAGGCCATGGTCAAAGTGGAAGTTCTCTGTGGGGAGCAACTCGGACTAGACTAAGTTACTGAAATTAAGACTTATTCTATGCATCTGCTCTCCCACAATATGGCGCTGGGAGAGGAGGAAACAGTTTCTACACAGCTGCCTCTTGCCAACTTGACAAGCTGCAGGAGCTGCTCCTGATTGGAGGAGAGCAGCATACTCGGTGTGTGGGTAGCAGAGTTGGGATTGGTGGAAGAGGACTATAAAGGAGGAGAGAGACAACATGCACCAGGAACATCTAAGGGGAACACCTGAGGAACATCTGAGCAGCCCCCGAGAGAGCCGGTTGGCGGTGTGCCGCTCCCCCGCGGAAGTGGGGAAAGTGGCAGGGGGAACTGCCCTGCCACGGAGGTGGAAGGGATGGTAGCCAACCCAGGAAGAACCAGCAGCAAACCCGGGGAGGGCCGAGCAGACAAAAGAACAGCGCAGGGTCCTGTGTCGTTCCTCCGTGAAGAAGGGAATGACAGTTCTCTCCTCCCTTCAGAGAAAGGTACCTCCTTCTTTGATGACCTGTTCTTTTCACTAGGATCTCACCTGTGGGGATCTTTCATTTAGGTTTTTCTTTTCTTTTCTTTTTTTTTTTTTTTCCCCAGAGTGTCTTGGCTTTCCATGCCTGTAATACTCTCATGGGCTTTTCAGCCGGATCTGCATGCCTTAAGGGCTGATTCTGAGGCCAGAATGCTGTTTAGGACATCTGCCATTCTATGGGTCTGCTATGTATCTCACTTCCCATGTTGGATCATTCTCTCCCTTTTTTATTCTATCAACTAGTATTTGCAGATACTATTCTTGTTTATATGATCCCTTTGGTTCTTAGTCCTATCATTATGATCAATTGTGAACAGAAATTGATCACTGGGACTAGTGAGATGGCATTGGTACATGCCACCTTGATGGGATTGAATTGGAATCCCCTGGTATGTTTCTAACTCTACCGTTTGAGGTAAGTCAGCTTGAGCATGTCCTGAATTGCACATCTCTTCCCTCTCTTATTCCCACTCTTATGTGCTGCTACACAGCAGACCCATAGAATGGCAGATATCCTGAACAGCACTCTGGCCTCGGAATCAGCCCTTAAGGCACATGGATCTGGATGAAAAGCCCATGAGAGTATTACAGGCATGGAAAGCCAAAACACTCTGGCAAAACAAACAAACAAACAAACAAAAAAACCCAAAAAACCAAAACCTAAATGAAAGATCCCCGTGAGTGAGATCCCAGTGGAAAGAACGGGTCATCAAAGAAGGAGGTATCTTTCTCTGAAGGGAGGAGAGAACTTCCACTTTGACTATGACCTTGTCTAAATATGATCAGAGTCAGTGAACTCAGGGGGCTTCCATAGCCTTGGCAACTCATGACAAGAGCCTAGGGTGATTACTGATGCCATAAACAAGAGTGTCAATTTGTTAAGTCAACAACAGGAGTCACTGTGCACTTACTCCTCATGTAGGATCTCTGTCCTTAGTGTGCTGTACATTGTGATTTAATGCTATAACTAGTATCAAACAGTATTTTTCACTTTATGTTTCTGTGTGGGTGTAAACTGTTGAAATTTTTACTTAATGTATGCTAAACTGATCTTCTGTATATAAAGAGAAATTAAAATGAATCTTGATGTGAATGGAAGGGGAGAGGGAGAGGGAAAGGGGAGGGTTGCAGGTGGGAGGGAAGTTATGGGGGGGTGGAAGCCATTGTAATCCATAAGCTGTATTTTGGAAATTTATATTCATTCAACAAAAGTTAAAAAAATATTTCAAAGTAAGACAAATGATTTTTCAGTAAAAATATAGATCTAAAACTTTTCAATATTCCATCCTACTTTTGCAATATTGCCTAGGAAATAGATTTGAATCATTTTTAACATGCATGAATTGCCTGAGCAACTGACCAAGTACATTTCAGTGACCCACACAGGGACTAAAAAGCAGTGTCTGTAAGGCCATGAGTGCCTGAAATATGGCCCAACATTGTGAGATAATGCATTTTCATCCTTGAAGAGAGAAAAAGAAACAGCAAATGTCTACCTCAAAAATCTTTTCTTGGGTTGATCCTAAAACAGAAGGCAGGTGTCTAAAAGAAGGGAAGGAAAAATGATCTAACTTTTCAGGTTTTTTGTGTCAGGAGGTTGCTGTGAGGGCAGTCGTGATAGTTCTGAGACTGAGTAGATTTTCTGTGTCTTTCTGTAGCTAACACCTCATTTCCTTTTCCAAGGTGGTTCCCATTCATAGTGAATAATTATTTCCCATTTAGGTTAATCCATACCTGTACTGTTGCATCACTGTTGATTTTCTACCAGATGTTTTAATTATTTCTCATGGTTGCAGATATAAAGGGCATTGAACAAATGGGAAAATTATTCTTGGTGGTAAATTTGTGATATTGACATCTCAAGAATGGACAGAAAGTATGGAAAATACATATTGAATGTGGAACACTCTGACAACCCGCCGGTGAGTACTGGTGCTCCATTTTAATATTTTTTTTTATCTCGCAGTTTCATTGTCAGCATTTGAACCCTATCTAGTATGCTTACTATTATGGAGTCAAGATCATAATTTTACATTCTCCCAAAGCAAGAGTATTCCTGTAGCTTTTTTGCTTCAAATTTCATTATATATTTTGCTATAATATAGACACTATGAACCATTTTTATAGGTGTAAATATTAGGAATGTTTCTATGTGTATACATACAAATCACCATCATAGCAAATAAAACTACAAGGGTGTCCTTGGTTTATTTATTAAGTTATGTTTTTACAATTTGATGGTTAGACTTCTATCTATAATTTCCAGATCTGCTAGAACTCTAAAGATTTATAAATATGCTGACCAGATTTTAATCCTAGAAATTGTCTTTATGACTAAGAAAGAAATCCTATAAAAATACCTGCTTCTTATAAAACATATGCTCATTTTTGTCTTTTTTTTTAATTTACACCAACAACCAAACGTTTGCTCTGTAGTTACCATAAGTACTTTGATGTATATGGTTATATCTTACCAAATAACCTTTGATATGAAAACAAAAGAAGGTCATAGGATGGAGATTAAAATGGTGAGTTAAAATTCATTTCCTGAAGAGCAAATGGAAGTCATATGACGTGTTTTGCCTTCTCAATATGGAGTGGTGGCAATCAGCCTATATTAATCACCTACAAAGTAAAGCAAAATAGAAAGTCTTGTTTCTTAGTAAATCTTGGTTGAGTAAAAGAATTCCATAGAGGATTCCTGGTTCACCAGAAAAAGGGAGTTTGTATTTCTCAGTCATCATTGGATCCTCCTGAAGACATTCTCTTGGTCACCTTGGAATGACTCTCAATATCTGAATCCTCAAGATGCCCAAATACTCAGTTGGAAATAGAAATTCATTTTAGGCAGGCATTAATCATCTGCATTATTTATGTAGGTTAATAACAAACTTGAAAACATTTACAAGTATTATTTTACTGCATTATATCTGATTGAACAAAGGTTTTCCTTTATTATAGATACTTAGGCATGATTACAAAAAACATTTTTCTTAAGACCAAACTCAATAATGAAACTTAAAAATTATTTGAAGATTATGAAAACACAAAAATATTTTTAAAGTTTTTTTAAAAATGTAGTTTTTAACAGATTCAGTGTGCTTTGTAGATAAAATTCTAAGAACATAATATTCTCTTCCTCTCTCCCTGCCTGCCACCTCTCCATCCGTACCTCCTTCCTTCCTTCTCCCTTTCTTTTTTTAAAAAAAATTTGAGATAACATTTTAAATTTATGATATAAAAGAAAGGCTTAATTACTTCAGTGAATGAGAAGCTTAACAAATTAAAAGCAAAATAAGAAATTTAACAAGTAAAAACTAAACAGACCCGAATTTAGTGGGAATATAGACAACAGCTATGAACAGCAATTTCATGGAAAATGACCATTTCATATCGACCCAAATACAGTAAAGTTTAAAGTAGCCACAGATCATTAAAAGTATAGTAACATAACGATCTTAACCATTGGTTTGACAAAGGCATAAAACAAAGTTTTACAAAACTCCATTTGCAGCAATACTGATACACACAGGCATTTCTTTCTTTTTTCTTTCCTTATTTTTCTTCTAGAAACACATGAGATTTAAGTTAATCCTTGTAGAGTTAGGAGAAACAAATCCTGTCAGACTTTCTTTGGTAAATAAAGCTGATACACTTCATTTGCCAAAGCCATTATTAGCTAACACTGATGACCTGATGAAACATTATTAATAGTTCTCTAACTATCCCCATTTTGTACAGAAACGTAAAGACTCCCCTAAGAGCCAGAAAAACAGCACAGTCAAGTTACTACTTAGGTTGCAATAGCACTTCAAAGCCGGACCCGGATGACAGGTTCTCTATGGGTATAGGCCCACTCATCATCAGCTGAAAAGGTTAGGATCCCAACAGGGTCAGATAATTCTGGAAAACTGGCTTGCCAAGTTTACTTTGTTTACAAGGTAAGTTAAAATATCCAAGTTCTTCAGTCACAGGCAACTGGATATAAATGAAAAAAAAAAAAGGACTCAGCACTAAGGAAAAATATGCAAGGTGTTAATAAAGGTAAGTACAACTTTCCCCAAAAGTGCCTAGCAAAAAACAGTTAGGATTTGGTATAATTTTTCAAATAAAACACTTGTTATTATTCTTAAGTATTATACTCACATAAACATTTAACTTAATTATTTTACTGCTAAGGGTATTCTATCTTATCTATATTTAATGACAATTGTATTTTCTGTGTATTTTTAATGATAACTCTTAATGGGCCAATGGCTACATGCAATTGTAGTTTGATAAGTTTTTGGTTGCCTTATTTCTGTTTTATTTCTTGCAACTGCACATGAATCTATAGTTACTTCAAAATAGTTTTTTCAAAAATGTTTTACTGATATATTACTTGTATCCCTTTATGGGGCACAGTGTAACATATCAACATATGCATACAGTATAAGTTTGATAGTTTTAATAGAACACACTGGTAGCATGGCCATCATCTTTGATAGTTATTTAGCAATGGGTTATGAAATCAACATGTTCAAAGACAACTACTAGTACAGGCAGCAGTAATAAAAATTCTAAAACCAAGACTAACAATAATGATTGTTAACACTTACTGAGTGCATACTAGGTGATAAAGATTTCTGTAAACATTTTGAAGTTAGTGACTCAGTGGTCATCCCAGAAAATCTACAAGTGTGTCATTTTTGTGTCCCCCTTTTTCAGAGGAGCAAAGAGCACCACATGCCTTTGTTCACAGCTAGAAAGTAAGCGTTATTATCCTATGAGATGAAGAGCCTAGATAATTCCACATTATTTTTGAGATGTAGCAAGCTTTTTCCAAGATCCATACATTATTAAACCTATTTCTTTTTTTAAAGATTTATTTTATTTATTTGAATGAGTTACAGAGAGAGGGACACAGAAAGAGGTCTTCTATCTGCTGGTTCACTCCCCAGGTGGGTGCAATGGCTGGAGCTGCGCTGATCCGAAGCCAGGAGCCAGGAGCCTCCCCCGGGTCTCCCTTGTGGGTGCAGGGGCCCAAGGACTTAGGCCATCTTGTACTGCTTTCCCAGGCCATAGCAGAGAGCTGGATTGGAAGAGGAGCAGCCAGGACTAGAACCGGCACCCATATGGGATGCTGATGATTCAGGCCAGGGTGTTAACCCAGTACACCACAGTGCAGGTCCCTATTAAACCTATTTCCTTCTTCTTTTTACTTTATTTTATTCTTCCCCTTCTTTTAACAACTGTTTCCCACAGTCTTTTCCACTGAACCCACTCTTTTTCAATCCTTATACGTCCATTTTTTCTCAGTAATGTTGTATAAGGATTGCATTATTTGATAATTATATATAAATTATCTTTTATCTCACTTGAAGCAAATATGTTCCTTGAGTACTTTTTGTTCTGAAATGTTTTTCCCCTGCTCTACGCCTGAGAGAAACCCTGCAAAGAACTCTTACAAAGTGGAAAAATGATGACTTTTGTGTCCCTGTCATGGAATCACAGATTCTGTTGTATTGATCATGATATAAATTATGGAAAGGAGTCACTCTAGGAAGTTTTTATGAGCATAGTATAGTATAATACACTATTACATATAGGACATTGGCATGGTATATCCTAACAGTATATTTATATGCAGTGTAGTGCAGGGTAAAGAACAGTGGCCTTAGCATTGGGTGGTCTGGGCTCAATGGCTTGCTGTTATATCATTTAAAAAGTCATATTCTTATTGTTTTTGACAGTTTTATTTTAGAAATTTAACAGTATGATGTACTATTCACTTACATTTCATCTCTGTAGCCCAACACATGTCCACATGACCAGGAGGCTCACAGATCTGCATGTTGCTGTCCACCTTCAAATGATGTAACCACTGATGTCTCTTCCAACTTACCTGGGGTCTGGGTGAGCCCAAGAATCTGTGCACATTCAGCATGCTCACGTGCAGAATTACCCGATGTGGAGGTAATGTCTGGTGTAGTAGCTTTTGCCAGGTTCTATGAGGGGTCTGCTTGGTCTATTCTTTCCTGGGATATGTAATTAATTACTCAATTGATCTATATTCATGTTAAGCATTTGCCCTATTCTTAATTCTGTTACAAGTCACTGACAGCAATTCACAAGGA